CAAATACTCCTTATTCTCTCGTTTAATTAACATTGAATTTTCTCATTATGATAGCATTCAAATATTGATTTTTTTTTTCTTTTCTATCATTCTTTGCTTTTTTATTTTTTTTTCATCTTTGCATGATTTTTATAAGAATGTTGCATGCATTTTTCAATCTTTCTTTCTTTGCAATTTTCTCTAAAGTTGACCCTCATTATTTTGTTTTTCTCTCCAAAATAATCTGTCAATAATTTCTAAGGCAGCAAATTGTAACTGCCTATAATTTTATTTTAACCAAATAAAACAAAGTTCATCTCATAGAAATACACCTGCTCTTGGTAAGTTGGCTCTCCTCTTGAGGTGACCTTTCTTGTTTTGACTGAAATATAAGTGACTTCCCAATCTGACAGCCATTTTAAAAAAAAAAAAAAAACCTATCCCACCATTTTTCCCCTCTTTCTGTATGCACACATTTTCTTCACTCTTTTCTCTCCCTTTTCCTCTCTTGTTTCTTTTTCTCAATTCCTTATCCAGAAAGTGAACTTCTTAATTGTAGTCAAGATCTGTTATGTTGCAACTTGGCTTTTCACTGTTTTTATTTGATGTAATTTCAACAAACTTCAGTGCCACTTTATTATTCTTACTGTAATTAGTTCTGCAAATCAACAGACTCAATGAATACACCTTTTGGTATGTAGGTGTTTTTTCTATCATTTACAGCATTTTTCCCTTGTTTCAGTCTTCTATCATGACATAACTCTACAAATACTGACATCTCTTTAACTATGTTTTTTACTTCTTTTTCTTTCTTGTTCAAAAATATATTTTCATTGACTTATCCTAACATCTTCTGATTTAAAGATTAATATCTGTCTTTGTGTCATGTTTGTATGGCTGGCTTAAAATTTAACTTTGTTTATATTAGTTATACCTGTATAGAATGTCATTCACAAAATAGTCAAGTGTTCAAAAATAATTACTTTTTAATATCTATTACTTAATGGAAAAATCCTTTATAGGTGTAATTCTATTCTGAAGCTGTAAAATATTTTTGTTTGGGAAGAGGAATTCATGAAATTATGGAAAGAAATAAGATTCGATTCAGTTCAAATTTAAAGCTTTCTCTTCAATGTATTTAGGTATGACTAATAGATATGAAATAATTTGTCAAAATAATGACAATTCCTATAACAAATCCTCTTTCTGGCCAAGCTGAATTCAGGGTAATATAATTTAGTATAAAAGGCATGAACATCCTTACACTCTGTTCCATTGTTGATACGTTTGATAAAGTGTAAGTAAGCAGTTGGGCAAACTATTCTGACAACATTCCTACCAAAGTAGTAGGAACAGTAAAAACCTGTTACATTCATTGTCAGCCTTGACAGAAGCCATTCACTGCTACTCTTTCTATAAGTGTTTTTCAGCACATTGACTGCAAAACTAAGTTCTATAGTGAGGGAGGGAATATTTAAATAAATCTATAAGGATATGCTGAAAGGTTCTTGGCTTAATCAAGAAGCCTTTCCAAAAGATAAATTTGAAGTTTGGTCAGATCTTTACAGAAGGGGGTCAGGCTGAGAGCTTTTCAGAACATTCTTGTATTCCTTATTTTCTAACACATTCTATGTTTTTAGTTTCCCTTAACTATATGTGATTGAAGTCTGCTTTATTGTATGAGCATCTTTTGAGATACATGAAGTATGGAAGATCAAAAATCACAGAGCCTGATATTATCTGCAATGGCAAAAGCATATCTCCAACATTAAAACATCAACATATGAGAAATGCTCTAGTTATAACATTCAAAGATAAATAGGCTTTAATAATTTGTCTAAAAATATCCCCTTCTCTTTATTTTTGTTTATAGCTAAATCCAGTATAAATAAGCAAGTTATTTCTGTTTTTTCTAAGAAAAAAATGCTTAGAAATAGAAAAACAAAACCACTTCCAAATGTCTTAAATAAATTTTGATTTTGGTAAGTTTTCAAGAATTTGTATTATTTCCTGAACTTAAAAAGGTTGGCAAAGTTTAACAAGGGTACCCAAAAATAAAATATGTGTGTCAAAAGGATGGTTTTGATTTTAGCCCCATTATTACTTGGCAATTTTTGTTTCCAAAAACTATTTTTTTAGAATTTTAATAAACTCTAAACTAAACATATGAAACTGGATTTATACGGTTTTTTTTTTGGTTTTTTTTCCTTGGCTGTCAACATATTTTAGTAAATTTATGTGATGAGTGCAAATGAAAGGAAAATGGAAAATTCTTTTTTTTTTTTTTTTATAATTAGTTACTCAACCTTTGTTTATTTAAATTTCTTTAGCTTGTTCATGGGCATTTTCATATTTTTCTGAATTAAAAAAATTGTTTTTATAGTTATTTCTTTATAATCTGGTAATAATAAATATTGCATTATTGTTTCACATTTTTATAATCTTGTAAATTTGAAATTATTCTTTTTAAATAAACAATCAAATAAAATGAATAATGCTTAATTCTTTAATTCTCAAGAAAAAAGATGCATAAATCTAGTTTCATATATTTGGGTTTTATTAAAATTCTAAAAATAGCTTTTTAAAACAAAAATTCCCCAGGCATGTATACTGCAATACCACTATACAGAGAAAAAAATATCCTTTTGAGAGGGTTTTTTTGTTTGTATGTAGGTTTGTTAAACTTTGCCAAAAGTTTCTATTAAAATATATTGCCTTCACATAACGATTTTTAATCTAGATATACATAGCAACAATATACTCTAGATGGAATTTTTCTTTTGCTGAAATTTAATTAAGCCTCAAGAGAAAAAGATTGTCAATTCTTCAAGTGTTGGTAAATATAAGAGTGGCCAAAATGTTGGAAGAAAATATTGTTTTGAATAAGTCAATGAAATCTTAGACTAAATTTGAGTCTGTTTATTTGCTTATACCTCTTTCTGTTAATTTCTTTCTGAAACTCTGTTATGCAATTTTGACCGCTCAGTAATATGGCCTGGATGTAGTATCCATTTTTCTCAATAGGTGACTGAAAAAGAAACTAGTTAAATATTGAATTCTTTTTTTCAAAATGTTAAAGCAAAAATCTATTACTTTAAATGAACTTTTTTTACTTCAGTATTTGCAGGTAATCAATCTGAAAATACTTTATTCCATTTCTAACATGGTTCTTGTCAAAAGAGAATTATTTATTTTATTAACTGGGGCTTCTGCTGGAAATAACAATGCTTCTCTATTCAGACAAGTATCAGTGTAGTATATGTTCACTCTATATAAAAACATAAACTGGCATAAGTGTATCTAATATATATGATAATATTAGCTGTTTCCTTATAAGGAAACATTTAGCATTCATTGACCAAACAGCCAGTATTACTGTCAGCTGGAATTTTAAAAATGTTTCTCTCAAAACAGTTTTTCAGGAAAATAGGTTTTTCAAGTCTATAGTTATCAGTATTGATGGAAGTTTCCTTCCTAACCTTTTGTTTGAAGTAGTGTGGAATGTTAAAATTTTGATCTTATTTCCTTCTTCAAGTTACATCTAATACCCAATTTAGTTGTTACTGTTATTGAAAGTTCTTAAGTGATGTGGTTTCTGTTATTCGGTACAGTTCTTTGTTTGTTGCACATTAGGTTCAAAGATGAATGGGTGGATGTGTGACTAGTGTAATGGATAGCGGCTCAGAATTAGAAATCAGAGAGCCAAGTTCAAATTCCTGCCTAATTCATTATATTCAATTATGTGCAAATACCCTTGGGACAGATATGAATCTAAACTCCTTACCTAGCTATGGGTTAAATAGTAGGACTTGTATCTGGAAAAATTGTTATTCTCAAACAATTGTCAATGCAATATTCACTTGCTAAAGAAAAAAAGTTTCAGCTTTAGGTTAAATAACCTAAAAAAAAAAGTCAAAGAAGAATGAGCCTTACTAAGACCTAAAGACTTCATTCGCTTGAAGCCATTTTTAATCATTAACCTGAGAAAATGATTTTATTCAGACACGCACAGAAGTGAACATTAAAGTCAACACTCAGTTTATGCTAAACGCAATCATCAGGCCACATACATTATGCTTTTTTCTTGACTATTTATATATTTGGCATTGCAGGTATTCTGTTGAATTGTGGGTAGTCTGTTCTAATGGTTATTTTGGCAGAAGTGGTTTGTTAATTTGTTTATTATTTACTTTATTTATTGGATTAATTTATTTTACTTGTAAATTATTTTGTCACTCCCAAACAAGGCAGAAATGCCACTAAGACACAAGGGGTTACTGGTAGAGAATGAAAAGACTTTAGTGAGGAGAAAGGACAATCAAAGAAAGGGATTCAGAATGATGGCATTAAGTTTTTAAAGATTGTAGGTGGCAGGGAAGCAAGAAACTGGAAGAGTTCCACAGGCAAGAAGTGCAAGAAAAGAAACTATTAGAATAGAACATACAAATTAGTTTTCCTTAGGAAATTTACTTGTTATATAGGCTTAAATAAAGCACTGTAATGTCCGAGTGGATGTGTAGATAGCATAATGGGTATCAGTGCAGAAAGTGGAAATGGAGAGCTGAGTTCAAATTCCATACTTGCCTGTTGTTCACTTTCACTCAAATGCCCTTGTGAAAGGCATAAACCCATCTCTTCTCCACCAAACTGGTGGTTAAATAACAGAGTAGACTGGGCTCTCTAATTTTAGGTAGTAACCAGTTTAAGAAAACTGAATTCCAGACTGTGGAAAAGGCAATAGAAAATCACTTGACTCTCTTTTCCAAGAATACATAACAATTCACACATAATAGAAAAAAAGACTCTGTTGGATCGTGATCATCTAAAAATGTCCAAAATGCTGATGTTACAAATACTGATAGAAAGAGTTCAGCTTTGGTATTTTTCTTTTTGATGCTATCAACTTTTAGAATTTTACATATTTGGTTATCTGACCTGAATTTTAGAAGGTTCATTTAAAGTTTTTATCGTTTTAAGAAAATGTTTTAGCATAATTCTTTTATAAATGTTTGCTTTTTCAGATTGATTTGGAGTCCATCAGAGCTGAATTTGAAGATATGTACGGTGAGAATCTTGCTGAAAAAATTGATGGAGAATGTAGTGGCAATTACAAGAAGATCCTGATTGGAATTCTTTCTTAATTCAAAATGGAAATATCAAAAGCAATGAAATTTGGTTTGCTTTTAAAATGATTTTACCACAAATTATTTGTTTGTTTTTCTTTTCCATTTTTTTTTTTTATTTCATCTAAATGGAAATTTAAAATCTGTTGAAAATTTAGTTTTAGTTAAAAATGTGATTGTTGTATATTTTTTGCTCTTGTTAGAATTCTGTCCCTGTGGCTAAATTGAAAATTTTTAAAATGTTAATTTTCCTGTAGAAAAATTCTCTCCTTATTAGTTTATTAGTTTGTTGATAAATAACAGATAATTTTATTTTTAAAATTATTACCACTATCCTTCAATAATTGTTATATTCACTAAATATGTATGCAAATGTAACTGTTATTATGGGATAGACATATTTTTTTTTAATAGTTTTTAAGTAAAATGACATTGAATATATCATCCTAGCCAATTGCCTCTTCATAGATTCAAATAGCTTAAAAAAAAATCTGGTAGGTTTTTATATTATTATTGTTGTATAAATTTTTATTCTAATATTTTACATTCGCTAATGTGAACTTTTAATTTGGGATTTGAAAAACTTTCTGTTCTTAAAAGTGGGAGTTGCCTTCTAGAAAATTCTAAGCTTCTACAACTTGTTTGTTTCAAAAGTCATGACATTGAGGTTTTTTTTTTTTTTTTCACAAGGCCATTAAAACAAGTTTTTGAATAAATGCATAATAATAATCAAAAGTTTATCAACTGATTTTTTTTTTTTTTTTTTTTTTTGTTTCCCCTGAAATTTGAATGAGAATATGAAACTTTAGAAACTAGTTGAAAACCCACTCTGCATAGGATGGGATTTCAAGCTGCAGAAGGCTGAAACAGGGTATCTAGATCATGGATTTGAACTATATATTATCAAATTCTACTCTATTTGAAAATCATCACCATCATAAATTCTTTGATCACACTTAATTTTAATATTCAAAGGGAGTTTACAAATGATTTCAATTGCCTACTTTTTAACAAATTTTTATTGCAGTGATAAATAAACTGTTTTTGGGAGGATCCTTAAACATTAAAATCTTAATGTTTATGGCCCTCTTGTAGCCATTACTTGTGCAACAAATGTAAATTTATTTTCAAGCATTTAATTATTTTTTTTTTTAATCTTGATGTTCCAGTGACTGGAGTAAGTCATGGGAAAGGTTCACTATTTTGATTTCTAACTTAAAAATGTACAGCTGTCTACATTATATGACTAAAGATACATTTTAGTTAAACAGACACAAAGTTAGGGTCTAGGTTAGCATTATACTTCCATTGTAAATTAAAGCCACCCTCTTTAAAAAGTTAATGTTTGGGAATTTTCAACCTGATGTCTATTTAATATGGTTAAACAAAATTATAAAGATTTGGTTGAGCTAACCTTATGAAAAGTTCAGATTAGTATTATAACTGTAAACTAAACCCCTGGCTAAAAACTTGTTTTGGTATTTACACAAATCAATACATTAAAAACTTGCTCCAAGATTCTATTACTAACCATAGAAAAATTTAGTGCCAATGGCCATTCTTGAGTTAAACAATAAACAAAATGATATTTGATTAGATTATTCATTTACTCTGAATTTTTAGTGGCATGATAATCAAATTGATTCATAGAATGGATTATTTTTAATCAAGTTTGATTTTTTTTTCCTTTATATCAATGATGATGGTTTAATCTTTTAGCAATTAGTTACAATTCTCTTAAATATTTTCTTCAATAAAATTTGTGCAAAGTTATTTTTTAACAAAATAATTGAATGTAAAAAAAATGCCTTCCTTTGTTAAACACAGAACAGAATTTACCCATGGCTTGCAATTGGCTTATTTCATCTCTATAGCTGCATATGATGTAATAAAATATTTGAAACGTGAATTTTAATTCACATAAATATGTAAATATTCTCGACATTTTGCGGCTGACAAGATAATGTTCCCTTTATTCCATAGTATAGTTGACTAAATGGACATAAAACTACAAATATTACCACCAGATAGCTATCTAAAATGGTTTGAGCCAATTGAGAAATGTCTTAACAGTAATACTGCTGAGCAGTAAAATGTCCAGTAAAAAATAATCTCGTGATTATATAATGAAGCTTCTGTATACTCTAAATTCATTGTATCTTGTTTTAAAAAATCTACTGAAATTGGATAATGATTATTGATTATTTCTTGGTTTATTAAAATATCATTTATTTAATATTATTATTAAAATAAAAAAATTATAACATTTCAGGTGTAAAACAAAAATTTAGATTAAAAAAATTAGCATAAATACTTTTAAAAACTTAATGCTACTAAATAAAGATATTTTATTTTTCATTTTTAAATATTCTAATTTAGGTTATAATTTCAGATCCAGTGAGATTTTATCACCAGAAAATTGACTTTAACTGTCCAGGAAATATATAACTTAGCAAACAGCATTTGCTTGAAGTTTTCATCAGGGGAGGTAAATGCAAAAACGTGCAAAAAAATGTTAATTCTGTAGATTTTAAAAATGTAATTGTCTCAGTCTTTCAAATTCTCTTATAGTTAAATATTTTAACTACTAAGATAATTTTTTCAAACATAGATATCTATTTCTATTAGTCAAAAATAATTTTTCTAATTCTTTTCAATGCTATGTTTATGAAAAGTGAATTAATTTTTATATGCAATTTAAACAGAATTAAGGTCAGAAGTACAAATTTCACAAAAGGCCATGAAAATATATTATGAATCAAATCAGTTTGTAAAAGTAATATTATAAGAATTTGTTGATTGCTTTAAGAAAATGTTCAGTACATTCTATATGCTGACTATTTTACAAACATTTGATATTAAACTTAAATACAATCATCATACATATGATAGATAATAAATCTTTATGAAAAATAAAGATTTTTATTAGCAAAGATTCTAGCATAATTTTTTTTTTAATTCATAAGAACATACATCAAGTTGCCTTAAGTTTTAACAAACTAATATTGTAAAATACTGCTGTAGAAAGTTTAAACCTTATTTGTTCCTAACAGTAAATTTGATTTGAAAATTATGAAATGAATATAAGTTTGCAGTAGATGTGTTTAGTCAAGATTTTATAAGTATAGAAATTTTTTAATTTTTTTTTAATGTGACTTCTGAAAAGAATTCCTATGGTATTTGTCATACTCTGTGGTTTTAACTCTAACCTAAATTATTAAGCATTTTTCATATTGGAGTAAAACTACAAACTATATTTTTTTTTCACAATTACATTTTATATTGAGTTTTGCTTCTTTTTTTTTTTTTTTGTTTTGCTTAGTTAATATTTTTGTAACTGCATTGGAGTTGATTTCTTTCATGAATAACAGAAATAAAATGTCAGTTCAGTAAAGCTAAATATTTGTTTGTTAAAAAGGAATGAAAAGGAAAATTTTATAACCCACAAAAAATTAAATGAAAATTTTCAGTTTTTGCTATTTGTTTATTATTTTTCTCTGCTGAAGTCAATTTCTCATTTCAGGACATATTTTAGTTAAATAAATTGATAAATGTCAATGCATCTGTCTTCTGTTGTCTGGATCTCTCATCAGGAATATTTTAATTCTTATTTTCTCTACTTTTAGTGTAGCACTCAGGTCATAGTTTGATTTTTTTTTTTTTTTTTTTTTTTTTTTTTTTTTAATTCTATGTTAAATAAGCCACATTGATTTTTAAAATAAGGAATTACTTTGATAAGACTGAAACTCACATTCTGTATAATTCAGAGCCTGTCTAACATAGAGCCTTGCCAATTGAGTTACAGAATCAATTTAATCTCATGGCTACATTCAACTAAGCATTATTGTACCTACTATGACCCAGTGTATATAATATTCTGAAACAAATTGTGAAACAAATATTCGTACACATACAAATTTTTAATTTATTGTATTTACAATGAATAAAACACACTTTTCATATAAATAGCTGTACACAAATGCATAATAACTAAATATGCATAGAAAACAGAAAAAAAAACTTGATTTAATAGAAATAAATCCCATTTATCCATTTTAATGGGTAAAAAAAGTATTTGTACAATGTAAATTTCGGATTTTAAAATTTCTAAATTGCTTTAATACTCAAGACTATTCAAGTGGAATATTCTAGAATGTTCCAATCATGTTATCAGTAGTTATTTTTAACCTAAAAAAATACAAACAGAACATTCTGAAATTGATATTTGTGCAAGGTTATCAATAATTTGTTTTCCCCTGCTGTATAAGCATGGAGTAGGATTAGATGAGGAAGAATGCAGTTATGACTAAATTTGAATTTCTTTTCTTCATAGTCAAAATTGGTGATGCATTATATATGTCAAATTGGTTTCTAAGGATACAGGTTGTAAATTCATATATTTCCGAAGTTAGTTATTTATTTTAAAATCTATGCTGATTACTTAAGTCATACAATATAAAAAAGAACTGAATGCTGCAAATAAAAGAAAAATTAATTGCACTTAATATGTATTTGTCTTTAAATATAATGTGAATTTTAAAATTGTTAATAAGCAATTAACAGTAGTCTCCCTTTAATTGTGGGACTATGTTCTATGATTTCTAGCAGATTTCTGAAACTGCATATTTAAAAAAATTATTGTAAATCATATCACCCCCAAGCAAGGCAATAAAGCCACTAAGTAGTAAGAGGTTACTGAGTGAAAGAATGAGAAAAAACATTAAAGCAAGAGAACAATAAAAGAACAAGAATTAAGAAAACGGAAAATAACAACTAACGTTGCATTTAAATTTTTGAAGGTTAAAGTTGACTGAACAACAAAGAGTACTAAAGTCTATGCCTACTATTTTTTTTTTTTTTTTTTTTTTGTACATGCCTCTGATGAAATTTTTACTGATCTATA